AAAAACCAAAAAAAAAGGTCACTAAAAAAAAAAAAAAAAAAAAAAAAAAAAAAGTAATTAAAAAAAAAAAACTCAAGTTTCAAAATGTCACCACTATTCATTCACCCAAGAGTAAAACAGTAATACATTTAATACATCATACTCCAAGTCAAAAAAAGAGAACAAAATAAAAAATAAAATTCAGTTTTCTAAATGGCCAGCAGAAGGCACTGCATGGCTCGAGAGTAAATGCACTTAAGAGAGATTCTAGGAGCATGAACCACAGAAGAAGAGAACAGTCTGGCTCATACAGGAAGAAACAAATGCTTGTGAACTAAAATCCATTGGCTCCCACTCAAGTCCCAAACTCTCTTATAAACCATATAACACAGGTCACTCAGGAGGGGATGTGGCCATAGAGTGTAGTTTTTATGGCCATAACACTCTGATCCAACATTAAAATTGTAAAAATATCTAAAATTGTTATTGTTTATTTTTGTATATGTTCTGTTTCAATGCCATTGTCAGTGATTAGCGCTAATTATATGCCCAAACCAATCAAGTTAGCTTGCTTTTGTGCCAGATCCAGTCCAGTACGTATAAACAACAGTATGTGAACCACATGTAAAACAGAACCTGCCTACAGTTGTCATGCGAGTCCAGCGTCTAGAACTGGCAAAACTGCAACATTAAAAACTGGGAAACGGACCCCATAACAACACTAAAAGGCAAATTTGTCAAGAATAGCTTTTGTGCCCATTGCAATATTGCGACGCGGCGAAAATGCTCAACTGAGGAGATTCAAGAAAGCTGAAATCAGCTTCTGCACGCACACTATCCACAGGCTACAGAGCAAATAGCTGAGCTCTGCAGAAGTGTTCATCAGAGCAGTCAGCATGTTCGGCTTTACACTTTATGAAATGTGCTGTTTATAGACATTGTGTGCTAACCATTCTTGTGCGGCTTAGAGAAAAGCATGTGTCAGAGACAAACCCACGTTTGTCCAGTGAAAGCATTTCAAAAAATAATTTTGGATGCTAATCAGAAACCTGAAACATTTAATCTCATGTATTTGTGCCACTTTGTCACACATTTTTTTGGATCGATTACATGTAACTGACACTTGAAGCATTGAAGTGACTCTATATGTTGTTCTTTAAGACATCACATGCGTAAAGTGCGCCTATCTTTTTTTTTTTTATCGTTATGCTCTTTGTTTGCAGGGGTGCTACTGGTTCCAGGGTTCTCTAATTTCTTCTGTTGTTCTAGAAACATTTATGAAGGCACAGTGTGCATTTGTTAGCAATACCATTTTTGTTGCCAAATTCCTCCAGTATCATGATTTTTATTTTGCCCCCGTAATTTTTCCTAATTATAACTCTCTCCACTCCAAACCCCAAGCCCTACCAAACTTTAAAAAAAACCCCACCAGAATGTTTCTTTTTCTTTGCCTCTCTTGTTGGAGTGAGTGCATCACCCACTGCTTGTGTTCCTACAAAAGGAGGCAGCGCTTCTTGGGTTTGGTCTCCGGAGGTTCAAGGGCAGCGAGTATAGCCTCGTCGAATACATTCTTCAGACCTCTCTGGAAGAAAGAGATCGTAAAATATCATTTGCAGTAGGTCATGTGAGTGATGATAAGTGAGTAGAGCTGTTATGTCATCACGGGTGTGTGCGGCTGCTCTTTTAACCTGTGTGAGGGCAGAGCACTCCACGTATTTGACAGCTCTGAGGTCTCTGGACAGCTTCTCCCCGCTCTCGGGTGATATGGGGCGCTGCTTGTTTTTGGCAAGTTTTTCCACAGTGTTACTGTCATCCCTCAGGTCAACCTGAGTGCCCACCAGAAGGAATGGAGTGCGTGGACAGTGGTGAGAGATCTCTGGTACCCACTTAGAGAAAGAGAGAGGAGAAAAAGGACTGTGTTCAATATAAAATTTAAATTATTTAAAAATATACATACCATATAAAGAAATATTCTACAGTACAAGTTCAGTACGATTTTATTAATTAATACTTTTATTTCGCAAGGAAGCAAATGATTAAAATTGACAAACATTTATAATGTTACAAATAGGGATGCACGTTATATCGGCCACCATATCGGTATCGGCCAATAAATGCACATTTTTTCTGTTATCGGTATCGGCCTGATAAGAAAATTTGGCCGATATCTTAAAGCCGATAAATAATGCATTATTTCCTTCAGAGACACTTCAGATGCGCGCTGTTCGTTTGCAGCCTTTTGTGCAATTGTAC